TGCCGGCAACGCTGCCTGCAGCTGTTGTTGTTGTTGCTGCTTGGGTTCAACTTTGTGCTGCATACATACACACAAATAAACACGCAGAGACACGATTCTGATGTAAATGTATGCTGTTGAAACTGTACATGAACATGTCTTTAATTTAATTAATATACCGTTTTTTTAATTATTAAAAATTTTTTTTTTCATTTGTATAGCCTGTACCCAAAGGGTAAAAGGCTATACTAGTTTTGTGCGCATGTATGTAACACACAGAAGGAGGCGTGACAGACCCCACAAAGTATATATATTCTTGATCAGGATGAGAAGACGAGTCGATATAGCCATGTCCGTCTGTCCATCCGTCTGTATGAACGCAAGGATCTCAGAAGGTACTAGAGCTAGAATAACCAAACTCGGTATCCAGATTCCCATAAGCCCTAGGCAGGTCAAATTTAATTTAATTAATAAATTAAGTAATTCATTTTTTTAATAACTTAATTTTTTTAATTTTTCCTTTTTATACCCTGTACCCGTAGGGTAAAAAGGGTATATTAGGTTTGTGCAAAGTATGTAACATACAGAAGGAAGCATCTCCGACCCCATAAAGTATATATATTCTTGATCAGCATGACGAGAGAAATCGATCTAGACATGTCCGTCCGCCTGTCCGTCCGTCTGGATGAACGCGAGGATCTCAGAAACTATAAAAGCTAGAATAACCAAAGTTGGTATCCAGATTCTCCTAGGTCCGAGAAAGGACGAGTTTATTTTATTTTTTTTAATTTTCCCCCCCTTCCCCCGCTACAGAATTTCGTCAATAGTGTCCACATTTCAAATGCTACCTAAATCAAACTTTGCACACATAATTTATATATAATTATCTACTGCTGTCTAATTTTATTCAAGTCGGTCAATTCTAAGAAAAGTTATTAGCAAAACAAATTCTCGCCAATACAACCCCCCCAAACTGCAGCAACAAGTTCGCTCTTCTCCTTCCTCTTTTTGCTGCTGCTATGGGCGCATATCACTCAGTGACGGAAGTTTACCTGGGTACAGGGTATTACACGGTCGGGCTTGCTCGACTTTAGCATTCTCTCTTGTTTGAATTTTCCTTTTTTGTGGAGAGTACAGGCTATTTTACTTGCTCGACTGTAGCGTTCTATCTTGTTTTAATATAGCAATTATATATGTACGTATATGAATACGACCAATTTCATTAACAATATATATAAACTAGTATAGCCTTTCACCCTTTGGGTACAGGCTATAAAAATCTTGTCCCTATTCAAGTGCATGACAGTGTACATACAAAAGTGGAGACATGTTCATGTACAGTTTCAACAGCATACATTTACACCAGAATCGTGTCTAAGTGTGTTTATATGCGTGTATGTATGCAGCACAAAGATGAACCAAAGCAAGGCTATAAAAAGTGAAGTAATATTAAAACCCCAATAATTCAAGCTCCAAAACAAATTTAAAAAACGGAGTATGCAGTTTTATTTGTATTCTTTTATAGATCACAAAAACTAAAAATTTGAAGTTCATCGATGGAAAACTGACATTTTTCAAACAAACTTTGGAGGTTGTTTCTCCCCTTTGGAGCTCGAATTTTCCAAAATCAATTCTTAGTGCGCATCTACAGTATGATAGGATACTTGAGCCCAAATTTCGCCTTTCTAGCTCATACCGTTTGGGCTGTGCGTTGATCCCCAATCAATCAGTCACTCAAACGGTTTTATATACATACAAGTATTTTGATTAAACATAATTCACAATCGGCTGTGGTCAAGCACTCATTTCTGAATGAAAACTCAATTTGTTAGCATTTAGGGAGTCTTACATGAATATAAGACAAATTGCCAAAAAAAAATTGAGAAAAACATGTCGGTTGCTGGAAATTTTTTCAAAAAAAAAGGCACTTAGATCTTCTGACGAACTATGAGTTCTTCGGGAAGCGTCAAACTCACATTCGTCCGCATCTGCAATTCGCCTTAATTTGGCAATAATAATTGCAAGTGTTGATACAGTGAGACGCGTTATACAGATAGCTATACAACTTAAAAGATGAAAACTCAATAAATAACCATCCCTGACAAAGCCACGTAAAGACGTTCGTCATATCTTTGCCCGGCATCATATGACATGGGATAAGGAGTGGGATGGTTCCAGCTTTTACTTTCATGATGTACGTAAGAAACACTACCTGGCTTGTCGCCATAGCCGTGAAAGGGGTATTATGGTGTGCGGTGCAATCTCATATTATGAAACCAGCGAGTTCAAATTTATATCGCCAATATTGAATGTAACTTCCTACAAAAGCTATTTTGAAACCTTTATCCGTCCTTCCTAATCGAATCAAGGATGTTATTTCTAATAAAGGCGGTTACACACATTATTAATAAATCCAATATTAATATAACAATAAAACTTTGAGTTTTTATACCCTGTACCCAAAGGGTACAAGGGTATATTAGTTTTGTGCGAGTGCACATGGAACACACAGAAGGAGGCTTGGTAGACCCCACAAAGTATATATATTCTTGATCAGCATGACAAGCCGAGTCGATATAGCCATGTCCGTCTGTCCGTCTGACCGTCTGTCTGTCTGTATGACACTCCACTCCAACCTATTAACGATTTTCTATAACTCCCGTAATTCTTGGAATAAACTAAAATTTGATAGTCACATTAGGTTAGTTATTATATAACCGTATACCAAGTCTCATTATGATAGAATGATCGGAAAGAAAGTTATAGCCATATAACCAGGCTCAATGCACACATACATAGATATGTACAAGTACACAAACACGCATAAGGCACGAGTCTGATGTAAATGTAAATGTATGTATGCGTGCATGGAATATTTTATATTTAATTTAGTTAATTAATTAAATTAATTTAGTTGATTAATTTAATTAAATTAATAAATTAATTAAATTACTTTTTTGTGGGGTTTATTTTATATTTAATTTAGTTAATTAATTAAATTAATTTAGTTAATTAATTAAATTAAATTAATTAATTAATGTAATTACTTTTTTGTGGGGTGGTACAGGGTATTTAAGAGTTGAGCCTGCTCGACTTTAGCATTCCTTTCTTGTTTTTTCATTAGTATGTGCTGCATACATAGAATGTTACAGTTTTTGTCCCTATTCAAGTGCATTGCAAAAATGGTATGTTTTTAACATACTCAAAAGTAAGCAATTAATAATATTTTTATAGCCTGTACCCAAAGGGTGAAAGGCTATACTATGTGCGCATGTATGTAACACACGGAAGGAGGCGTGGCACACCCCACAAAGTATATATATTCTTGAACAGGATGACAAGTCGAGTCGATGTCCATGTCCGTCTGTCCGTCCATTCGTCCGTCTGTATGATTACAAGGCATGTACAATAACAAGAATAACGAAACTTGGTATCGAGGTTCCCCTAAGTCCTAGGCAGGTCAAGTTTATTTTTTATAGCCTGTACCCAAAGGGTGAAAGGCTATACTAGTTTTGTGCGCATGTATGTAACACACAGAAGGATGCGTGGCAGACCCCACAAAGTATATATATTCTTGATCAGGAAGAGAAGCCGAGTGGATATAGCCTTGTCCGCCCGTCCGTCTGTCCGCCTGACCGTCTGTCCGTATGAACGCAAGGATCTCAGAAAGTATAAGAGCTAGAATAACCGAACTTCGTTTCCATATTCTCCTAAGACCGAGAAAGTACGAGTTTGAGTTTTTTTTTGATGCACCCCCCCACTCCCCCGCAATTCGTGTTTTTTCTTATAACTTCCGTAATTCCCGGAATTTTGAAATCAATTTTGGTAGGTACATCCAGTTAGTACTAATGTGTCCGTGTGCCAAATTTCATCATGATAGGTCAATTCTGAAGAAAGTTATAGCCATAAGTAAAATCGCTGCTCATGCGCTGCCTGCAGCTCTGTCGGCAGCGCTGCCCGCAGCTGTTGTTGTTGTTGCTGCTAGGTACGTGATGTAAATGTATGCTGTTAAAACTGAACATAAGCATGTATTCTAATTTAATTTAATTAATTAATTCATTCATTCATTTTTTTTAATAATTTAATTTTTTTTTAAATTTAATTTTTTAATTTTTCTTTTTTGTGGAGAGTACAGGCTATTTTACTGTCAGGCTTGCTCGACTGTAGCGTTCTATCTTGTTTATTCTGATAAACCTCCCCACTCTCCCGCAATTCGTATTTTTTATATAACTTCCTTAATTCTTGGAATTTTAAAATAAATTTTGGTAGTTACATCCAGTTAGTGCTTATGTGTCCGTTTCATCATTATGGGTATTTAAGAGTTGAGCCTGCTCGACTTTAGCATTCCTTTCTTGTTTAAGCTCAGTATTTGATTTTCTCCAAAAGTAGGACATGTTGTCCAATCCAAATTGAATTTGGACTCCACTTTTACTCCATTCTCGTGATCTTTATATTCTGGACTGTAGAGGCATTAAGATTTACAATTTCAGACATTTTTTTGACAGTGATCAATTGTAAAATGTTTAAACTCAATTGTCTTTATTCAGTTGTTCGCGTTCCCACTTCAAATATGTTTTCAACTAGACACCCAATTGAAATGAAATTCTTCGAAAAGCAATTATGGCATTATACAAAGTGTTACAAATAGAAACAAAGTGGAGAAGCTAACATTGGTTGTCCCGACTTTAAAATACTATGTACATATGTATGTGTAAAAAACCTATAGAAATTTAAAACAATGAACATTGAAAGCAAGTGAAAAAGGTAAGGTCGGGTGCACCGACTTTGAAATATTCTGTACATACATGTACATATATGTAGAATAATTACAGAAATTAAGAAAATTACAAAAAGCAAGTACTTTAAAGGGAGTATAACTGCACATTTCCGTAGAAATTGTGTCAAATATGCAGTACAAAATTGAACCAAAGCAGCAACAACAACAACAGTTGCGGGCAAAGCTTTGGCTGAGATTACATAAATGGATATAACTTCTTTAAAAATCGGCCTATCATAATGAAACTAAGCATACAGACCCCTAATCAAATTTGAGTCAAGTTCCAACAATTATGGGAGTTTTAAAAATTAATTAATTGTGGGGGAGTGGGGGGTATATTTTAGAATACACATTTTCTGTGTATTATATAAGGAATTTTGGACTCCTTCTGCCTTTTACATTTTTCACTTTATGTGCTGGGTATAAAAAGATGTAAAAATAAAGAACATTTGAACAAATTGTTCGTGTGATATTTGATATTGCATATTATGCGTCTTAATGCTGCATATCTCGACACTCCTCTTGTTGGACATCGTATACCAAACCTGGAGTACAGTCTAAAACAACGCCACGGCCATTCAAGCAGTAATAGTAGGCGTCCAGTCGCGTGTGATGCTGGTAAAAATATATGCCATTTTCCGGACAAATGATGTCAGCCCGTCGGGGTGGAGCCTTCGCAAATGGAATAATGTTACGTTGCAGATTTTCGACCTAGTGGAAATGTCGGTTATCAATCATTTTTGCTAGAGCTGCATATCCAAATGCTACCTACTGTGCAATTAACACGAGAAGGGAAATCACAACAGTTACACGACGGATTGAATTGTAGCCCACTAGTACATGTTTGATTCTGGGGTTGTCCGTACACGCAGATATAATACTTGTTACAGTTGGCCTTGCTAGCTATGTATACAATATTGTCGATGTCGACTTGCGTCTGCAGCATGCACAGATTGTCCACGCAATCTACATACTGCGGGTAATCACAGCGGTCCGTGTCGGCATTGTACTGCAAACCATCGCAACACTCACGCACTACAGGCGTACCCATGTAGCAGAGTACGTACTTGGTGCAGGTGCGATCATAGCAAAAGGAGGTCAGTTCATGTGGTGGACAAGAGGGAAGGCAGCGCGCCTGTTCTGCAATTACGCACATTTGATCGCGCGCATCGAAGTAGTATCCAGGATCGCAAGCCTTGGGAAAGGCAATACCACCTACGGGGTTATTGTATTTATTTTTATATAAATATATATAAATTATAAATATATAATATTATAAATGGAGTATTCAAACATAGTACATATAGACTATATAGACTTACTGTACGGGAGTTAGAGAAAATCACGATCTGTTGGGGAGGAGGGGAGGGGGGGGTGGTGGAGGGGTGGAATTCCATAATTTTGTGTCTACCTCTTATAGTCTCTGAGATCCAGGTGTTCATACGAACGGACAGACAGGGCTAGATCGACTCGTCACGTTCCCACGCCTCCTTCTGCCTGTTAAATTTTTCAGCTTGCGCAAATCTAATATACTTTTGTACATTTCATGTACAGAGTATAATTAATATAATCAAATTTATGTTTATGTACAGTTCCAATAGCACACATTTACATCAGAATTGTGGATATGAGTGTTTATATACGTGTGTGCAGTACAGAATTTACTCAAAGCAGCAGTAACAGCTGCGGTCATAGCTTGGGCAGAGATTACATTTATTTATTTATTTATCTGTACAGTTTAGTCATTCTAGCTCCTCTACATTTTGAGATGCTTACGTTCCTACTGACAGACGGACATCGCTCTATTTACCTGTCTGTCATCTTGATCAAGAATAAATATAATCGGTTGAGTATATTGCGTCTTGCTATGTGTGTTACATACTTTAGCACTAAACTATTATACCCCTGTAAAGGCACACTACTAAATGGCTTTTAGCTTTTACTTATGTATCTGCTTACCTATGCACAGATAGTACTCGCTGCAGTTGCTGATGTGCGGCAGGAAAAGATTGTCCACCACATTAGAGCATATGTCAACACCACTTTTAATGCCACTAGCGTTTGCACTACTCTGGGGTATTAGTAAAGCTATGGCCAAAAAAAGTGCAAGTCGCACAATGTTTGTTTGAAATTTGTTTCTGAAAAAAAAAATCGACAGCAACATTGCTCTTCTAAAAAGCCACTGCTCATTTGGTGAGCCCAGGGCGATATTTATATTTATCAATGAGCGATAAATATTCTATAAATGGAGCGGATTTTATCAAATTTTACCGGCAACAATTTTAATTTTAAATTGTGCCAATCGCAAATGAAGTTTTCGTAGAAAAAAAATTCGAGAATCAATTACCGGTTTACTTCCGATCAAAAGAAAAGTTGTCACAGAAATAATTAACAATTGAGGACTCTTCAACTTTGGTTAATAAGCTTTTGCATATCATATTAACTTATAATAATGTACACCTAATTCTAAAAAAGACATTGATCGTATGCAAAAATAGGTTATTGGTGTCTTATCTCTAAATCCTATTAAAACTAGTGGAAAAACAAGGATATTTTAAGAATATTTTAAGTATTCATGCTGATTTTATTATACTCTGTACATGAAATGTACAGAAGTATATTAGGTTTGCGGGAGCTGAAAAATGTAACAGGCAGAAGGAGGCGTGGCAGACCCCACAAAGTATATATATTCTTGATCAGCATGACGAGACGAGTCGATCTAGCCCTGTCTGTCTGTCCATCTGTCCGTCCGTATGAACACTTGGATCTCAGAGACTATAAGAGATGGAGACACCAAATTTTGCACAAAGATGCCTTATGTGTGTATTCTATACGAGTTTGTTTTATTTTTTTGACGATTAACGATTTTCAATAACTCCCGTAATTCTTGGAATTTTAAATTAATTAATTAAATTAATTAATTAATTAATTAAATTAATTTAATTTCTTTTTTGTGGGGTAGTACAGGGTATTTGAGAGTTGAGCCTGCTCGACTTTAGCATTCCTTTCTTGTTTCTTATGTACCAATCATTTAATATTTGGTTCTTTTTTATTCTTTAAACATTGTACTTACTCTAATTTAACATTTTTTGTCTTATTACAAGTATATCCTGATAGTATCAAGTAGTTTTCACTTCATATGTATATTTTGAAGCATTTTCTTTATCATGCAGTGTGCATCCATCCTTAAACGCTATAGCGATCCTATTTCTATATATGTTTCTTGCGTTTTAGATCGGGTTTTTTGGTTAATCTGCCTACTTGATTACATTCTTTATGCTAGTCTCTGAAACCTTGTTCACTTTTGTGAACAATAGGCCTATAATAATGAAAATCGGCATACGGGCACATAATCACTAACTGGGGGTATTTGCAAAATTTGAGTTCGAAATTCCAAGAAATAAGAGAGTTAGAGAAAATCACGATTTGCGGTGGATAGGGGGGTTCAGGGGAATTCCAAAAACACATTTTTTGCGTAAGGCATCATTGACTTCAAATTTGATGTCCCTAGTTCTTAGTCTCCGAGATATAGGCGAATTTACGAACGACGAAAAAACAAACTCGTACACACATAAATCATTTTTATGCAAAATTTGGTGTCTCTAGCTCATATAGTCTCTGAGATCTAGATGATCATACTGACGGACAGACAGACAGACAGGGTTTGCCACTCCTCCTTCTTCCTGTTAAATATACCATTGTACATTTCATGGACAGAGTATAATTATGTATGTATGTAAAATAGCTATACTTGTATTTTTAACATAAAGAATAGGTTATTCAATTTAATCAAAATTCCAAGAATGACCGGAGTTGATGGGATGGGAGTTGCGTGCATCAGTCAAAAACAAGTAGAAGCTTAAGCTTTGAGTTACTCGGTACTTATGTGTAAAATAATTACATATATACATTTTTACTATACACCCTGTAACCGTAGGTTAAAAAGTATATATATTCTTGATCAGCATGACGTGAGAAATTAATCTAGACATGTCCGTCCGTATGTCCGCCTGTCTGTCTAGATGAACGCAAGGATCTCATAAACTATAAAAGCTAGAATAACCAAAGTTGTAGCGTTCCCTTTGTTAAAAATCAACAAAAATGAACAACAGATGTCTACAAATTTACATAGGAATTGTGTCTGTGTGGGAGCATGTGTGCAGTACAGAGTTGAGCGAAAGCAGCAAGAACAATAACAGCTACGAGTTAAACTTGGGCAGAGATTACATTTATGGCTATAACTTCGTTTCCATGATCAAACTTGGCATACATACACACAAACGTTATAGTCCACATTTGGTCAATGTGGGCTCAGCAGTTTCCGATATCCAGGCATTCATCCAGACTGGCGGAAGGACAGATGTATATACTTTATTGCGTCGGAGATGCTTCCTTCTTTCCTTCGAGCCCAGGGTATAAAATGCTTTGGCTTTCTAGAGTACCGGAAGGACAAGCCTTTTCATGTCAGATTTGACACAACAATTTAAAGAAATTTGGAATCTCTGGAAAATCTGAAATAGCGGGAGAGTGGGGTAAATGAGGACAATTTTGAAACACAAAAAATATTCAAGAATTACGGAAGTTCTTGAATCCAATAGATACGGGAGGGTGGGGAGGTAGGAATATTTTGAACCATTCAGGAGTATAATTAAAGGAATTTAAATATGAGTTCATAAAGACGCTTAGACACACACTTCATTAATTTAGATTATGCAGCCCAAAGAAAACTAACCATATTACAACGTGTCAACAAATAAATTTTTTTTCTTTAATTGAGAGGGGACTTAAGATTTTTTAAAGTATGTATTATCATTAACTTTTTTGATCCTATTATCTTCTTCAAAATACAATACAAAGAAAATGTAAACAAAATTAGAACACACAAAGAAAATACAAAAGAAGAATGTAGTGAAATGTATCTACCCTTATCGAAACCGACACAACATTTTAGAATTCTTAATTTCCCTTAAGTTTGTATTAATAACAAGAGAGAACGATAAAGTCGAGCAAGCCTCTTTTTTTTGTCTCTTATTCCAAAACTTCTCATTTTAGATAATATATATGTATAAGTACATACACCTCATACGCAGCGCAGTATTCGTCATGATTATTCTTTGTCTTAGGAAAATTAAAATGTTTTTTCTGATAAGAAACTACGCTTTTAAAGAAATCGTTGGACACAATACCGATATGCCAAGACAATGCATAATTAATACTCCTGCTTTCCAAACATACAGAATGATATTCGCACAAGTTAATTTCAGCGTTAGTATTTAAAAAGGCCCCTTAACTATAAGTCAGAAGCTTTACAACCTAGCACAGCCGCATTCAAAAATTGTGTGATATGGCTTCGCTGCTTTCATTCATGTTGTGGGGCCTAACTGGCGTATTGGCAATTCATTCCTTTTCTGTTGATATTATGGTATCAAGCGAAAATGAGAAGGATGAAGAAACTAGCTTTATAATGGGCGAAGTAAATCTTTGTTCGAATGTGGCAAACAACGTATTCTTGCCCTATGTAGGAAACTGTAGCAAGTACTACTTATGCATGTGTGAGTAAAAGTATCCATAGGGAACAATTAAAAATCAACAACTAAACGCCGTTCTCTCCCCTTATAGATGGTCAGGCAACTGAACATCCATGCGGTGCTATAGATTCAACGCACCTTCTCCGTTTTGACGCTCGAACTCAAAGTTGCACGGATGACGAAGATATTAAATGTCTGCCTGAATGCAAGTCTTCGGTGTTGAGCAGTTTCTGCTACGATCGCACTTGCAGCAAGTACGTGCTATGTTACAACAACCAGGCGGTGTTACGTCAATGCCAGGATGGGTTACAGTACAATGCGGAAACCGATCGATGCGATTTTCCTCAATTTGTGGACTGTGTAGATAATCTATGTTCTCCTGTCAATAACCCTAATGACATCACCTATATACCTAGCAAAGCGCAGTGTGACAAATACTATGTATGTGTAAATGCCATACCGCATAGTCAGCTGTGTGCCGGTGGGCTACAATTCAATCCCAAATGCAATTGCTGTGACTTTCCATCGAATGCCGAATGCACGGTAAGTTAGACTTATACGTGTAATCGTTATAGCAATTCATGGAATTTCATTGGTATTGTCCTTTTAGATCACAGCTCTGCAACGTAACATCAAGCCCTACTCTCGCGCACCACCACGCCGAGCTGACATTACCTGCCCAGAGAAAGGCGTTCATTTCTTTGCTCATCAGACGCGTAAAGACGCCTACTACTATTGCCTTGATGGACAAGGACTGACTTTGGACTGCACGCCTGGGTTGTTATACGACTCGAACGTGCACGAATGTCGTGAACCCAAGAACATAAAGTTTTAAAGGAAGAATATTAAAGTGCACCGAATTTTTTATTATATGTAATTTAATTTAATGGATCCAACTATGAAAATAAACAAATATAATAAAAGGTAACAGGGTATTATAAATGCGTTCTGTTATATGAGCTAACAACGTTTCTACTAGCCAACCTACAAATCACTGACCACGAAGCAAGTCTATCCATTGCATGCATTGTGAAACGAGACGTAATCGTACACTGGCTCAGTATTTTTACCGCCAACCAATGCCAGGCCAAAACCACTAAGACAGCGATCGTAGTTGATGCCCCTCTGGGGCGCGTGCACAACCAGCTAACTGGACAAGCAGAGGTTCAACTTAGAATAATTTAGTTTTCTCCCATTATGTTTAGTTTCTAAGCAGCACTCATAATAAACGGTTTGTGTTTTTTCTAAACATCTACACCGATCGTTTTTATTTATGTAATACCTTTTGAGCGGCACAGCCGTCCCTGGTACATATTTACTGTTTACTCTTTACACAGGATGTTGACAAATATGCAAAGCAGAGGAAAGACGAGCCTCTACCCATTTTGTACAAATTTTTAAACCCTGTATCTAAAATGTGCAAGAGTATATTAGGTTTCGGAAAGGGAAAATGCAAGAGGCAGAACGACAAATGTCCGAATTTTTGAACTCAAATTTGGCAACTACCTCCAGTTAGTGATTATAAGTCCGTATACCAAGTTTTATCATGATATGTCGATTTAACCGGAAGTTATAGCCATAAATGTAAGATTTGCTGCCCGCAGCTATTGTTGGTGTTGCTACACGAAAAGACACGCATACACTCACATAGACACAATTCCTATGCAAATGTGCAGTTATTCTACACATATGTATAGCGTATTTCAAAGTGTCTACTTGTTTTAAATTAATTTAAAAATCAATTTTTTTTGTGGGAATAGATTTCAGTGACAGGCTTGCTCGACTGTAGCGTTTTCTCTTATTCTACTGCAATTCTGTGCTAGATGGGTGGATCGCTTTAACCATTCTGGTGCATGGAAGAGTAGTATTAGAAGACGCAATCAACGACCCGCCGAATAAAACTGAAATAAAGCTGTACCCAGCAGCTTTTCAAAACATTCACAATAGACGTTTGTGGATGGACGACGCATGTGCAGTACAGCCACCGTTTGCTTTAAGCTTATGCCTCTCACACACCCATACACAACGGCACATATGAAACCAAACACAATGGTACGATGCTCTCCCAGTTCAATCTCAACTCAAGGAAAGTGAAAATGTTGCAGCTGCAGTCCAAATTAGTTGTCGTTCGTCTCCGCGTGCTCGGTTATCTTCTTTGGCTGGGAGCCCGCGAAGACCATACTAACAAAAATAAAAATGTTAAAAAAACATTAAATCTGTGTGTAAACTGTAAAGCTATAATCTTTTTGAGCTCTCGCCGATTCGTGTCACGTAATTGGCAAACAATTCAAAGGTAGTTCTTATTTAACGAATCATTTATTTGTGTATGTACATAGGTAAACGTATGCGTACTTATGCATGTGCCTATTTGTCAACTCAGTTTAGCGTTCAAGGACTTTAGTGTAAGAAACAATATACATATATAGGACATACATATTTACATATAATCATACAAAGCAGCAACGAAAAACCAACTGACAGCGGAAAAGACGTGCTTCAAACGTGAAGCACCTTGCGATAAAAAAAATTAAAAAAAACAAAAAAAAAATAACTTAAAAAATTAATTTTAAAATTATATCAATTAGATTAAATTTAATTAAATACAAATTATTCAATACACATACAAAACTACAGACATGTTCATGTACAGTTTCAACAGCATAGATTTACATCAGAAACGTGTCTCTGCGTGTTTATATGCGTGTATGTATGCAGCACAAAGTTGAACCAAAGCAGCAACAACAACAACAGCTGCGGGCAGAGCTGCGGACAGAGCATGGGCAGCGATTTTATTTATGCCTATAACTTTCGTCCGAATTTACCTATCATGATGAAACTTGGCATACGAATACATAATCACAAATTGGAAGTACTTGCCAAATTTGAATAAAAAATTCCAAAAATTACGGGGAAAAAACACGAATTGCGAGGGAGTGGGGAGGGGGGGGGGATTCAGAATAAAACAAGAAAGGAATGCTAAAGTCGAGCAGGCTCAACTCTTAAATACCCTGTACCACCCCACCAAAAAAAAATTTTGAAAAAGTTCAATTAATTAATTAAATTAAATATATGTAAAATATTCTATACATGCATACATACATTTACATTTACATCAGAATCGTGTCTTTTCGTGTAGGTGTACTTGTACATATGTATGTATGTGTGCATTGGGCCTGGTTATATGGCTACACCTTTCTTTCTAATCACCCTATCATAATGAAACTTGGTATACGGATATATAATCACCAACTGGACGTGTCTACCAAATTTTAGTTCAAAAATGAACAAACTCGTCCTTTCTCGAGCTCAGGAGAATCTGTATACCAAGTTTGGTTATTCTAGTTCTTATACTTTCGGAGATCCTTGCGTTCATACAGACAGACAGACAGACAGACGGAAAGACAGACGGGCATGGCTATATCGTCTCGGCTTGTCATGCTGATCAAGAATATATGTACTTTGTGGGTTCTGCCACGCCTCCTTCTGCCTGTTACATATATTCGCACAAAACTAGTATAGCCTTAGCTATGCTACAAATGTATTAAATTTGTATTTAATTTAATTAAATAATTTAATCAATATAATTTTTGAAATTTAATTAAACATTTTTTTTTCCTTTTTGGTGGGAGGTACAGGGTATTTAAGAGTTGAGCCTGCTCGACTTTAGCATTCCTTTCTTGTTTCAAATATTATGCTTATACAGAAGGAACATATACATAAGTGCATATTCCATTCATACAACGCTTTGTTCAAATTGCTCATACGCAGTGTAGCACATGAGATGTCAAAAAACATGCTCCATGGCTTAAGCACCTACGCGCCCATATAAATGCGCACCCACATTTAAATCCCACTGTCAGATTTCGTAGCTCTTACCCTTTAAGCTGCCTGCTGTCCAATTCATATTCTGATGATAAAAGGATTAAGGATAACAACACGAACAGCCAATTTATTTTGTCGCTAAACTTATATATTCTTTAAATCTTTAAGATACTTTTTATACCCTCTACCCGTAGGGTAAAAAGGGTATATTAGGTTTGTGCAAAGTATGTAACACGCAGAAGGAAGCATCTCCGACCCTATAAAGTATATATATTCTGAATCAGCATGACGACAGATATCGATCTAGACATGTCCGTCTGTCTGTCTGTCTGTATGAACGCAAGGATCTCAGAAACTATAAAAGCTGGAATAACCAAAGTTGGTGTCCAGATTCTCCTCAGCCCGAGAAAGAACGAGCTTGTTTATTTTTTTTAATTTTCCCCCCCTTCCCCCGCTACAGAACTTAATCAAAAGCTACATTGACCAAACTTTGCACACATAATTATAATAATAATTTATATATACAAGATATAATAATATTTACTTATGTTTCAAATTTCATCTAAATCGGTTAATTCTAAGAAAAGTTATTAACGAAACAATTTTACTTCGGTACATCGCCCACAAGCTGCAGCATCAAGTTCGCTCTTCTTCTTCCTTTTGCTTCTGCTAGAGGCGCATATACCTCAGTGTCGGAAGTTTACCTGGGTACAGGGTATTTCACTGTCGGGCTTGCTCGACTGTAGCGTTCTCTCTTGTTGTTTACCACCTTTGGTAACCCTTGGGTTCTATAGGGAAACATTTTATATAAAGCGATGTGACAGGGACCTTCTTTGGCAACAATGACTTTTGAGGCTGTGAAAAAAGAATTGCATTTCCATCGACTTTAGATTTTCTTCTTAAGCCACTAACAGATGGCGAACGAAATTCGAAATGCTGCTACTGCTGCTTTTGCTGTTACTGCAAGCATTACAATATGTAGTATGTAAAAATATTCATGTAAACAGTTTAAAAATATGGAAAAAATATGAAACTTATGACTCTTTTACTATTAATCGTTTGGCTCACACTAGGCAGCTTTGTAGTATCCATGTACAAGTATATATGTATAATGGTCACATAAATTCTAATACAAGAAACATAGGCATAAAAACATGGAAAATTTATTACTTTTTTGAAGACCAGTAACCACCAAGCGATATGTTGAGTGCTGGCATTGATTATTAAATATAGTATTACTAAACATAGTAATAAATTAATATTATATATATTAAGCATTTGTGAACAGAAGCGGAAAGGCAACCTAAGAAACTATATAGTATCATATAGTATATATATACAAATGTATTTCTTTACATATATTCTACATATTAATATACTACTTGTATATGTATATATGTAGCAAAGGACATACACATGCATATGTTGTTTAGGTGTTCTACCGGTAAGCTTCTTGGACAGTCTGCCTTTGTGTCTGCCTTGTGTTAGATGAGACACAAAGCTTTTATAAGTCATTCTCTTTGTCTGTAGTTTTGTCACCACTGGGTGAATTGAACTCTCTTACTTTGTTTGCCTATGTTCCTTTGTACCCTGAAACAAATATTTTTACTTGCAGCTTTCATTAAGAGTTTTCTTCCTGCCATGCATTTTTGGATCGACAAGCGCTCGCAACAGTGCGGTTTTGGACGCTCACGGGTGGCTGCCTCTTTGTCACATGCAGGCAATGGTCTCAGCTATTGCCACCCCCCACGGCGAAGCAAGTCAAGCAGTAATCATAGCTCGGGGGCTGGTGTAAGCAACAGCACAAACAGTCAAACCCAAGTCCTACCTTCGGTACATAGATCTCAGGCGCAACAGTACCAATTGGGCAGCTCCGATGGACTGGCCGGCTCTAGTGCACGCCATTATAGCAATAACAATATACCCCAATCTCAAAACTACATCTCTCAGCTGAACAACAACAGTGCTGGGACTGTAATATCAACCCCTGCTAGCAATAACAACCATACAAGCATCGCCACCTCATCAGCAGCTGTGCTGACAGGGAGTGGCACCGTAGTCCCCATGACAACGCGTTCGAATCACCACAGCATGCGCTGTCAGCCACGGCAGCAACAGCACCAACACCGACAGCTGCCCCAACAACATCAACAGCACCTGCAATATAGTTATCATCATCCACAGTTTGGCAACATGGCCGTGAGACATCATACGAACGGGAGTTACAGCTACGACTCCCAACAGCAATATCGACAGCAACAGCAGCACTATCAGCAGCTACAACAGCATCATGGCGTTAATGCGTAAGTATCAGGATAAACTTTTTTCAAATTTACACTATTACAAATTGAGGAATGTATTGAAAACGCAAAATAAAAGTATGTGTGACTATGACTGAGCCAAAGCAGCAGAAACAACAACACACATGTAACACACAGAAGGAGGCGTGGCAAACCCCACAAAGTATATATATTCTTGATCAGCGTGACAAGCCGAGTCGATATAGCCATGTCCGTGTGTCCGTCTGTCAGTCTGTCTGTGTGAACGCAATGATCTCAGAAAGTATAAGAGCTAGAATAACCAAACTTGGTATCCACATTCTCCTAAATCCTAGAGAGGACGAGTTTATGTTTTTTTCTGATGCACCCCCCACTGCCCCGCTATTTGCGAATTTTTTTATGTATGCCAAGTTTCATCATGATAGGTCAATTCTGAAGAAAGTTATAGCCATAATTAATATCGCTTCTCATGTTCTGCCTGCAGCTCTGCCCGCAGCTGTTATTGTTGTTGCTGCTTTGGTTCAAGAAGTCACCAACCAAGTTGTACAGTTCCTCACCCGTGTTTGGGTCAAAATTTGGCAAGGGAGGGTTGTTCTTGGCCAGTAGTCGCACATAGTACCCCCAGCTACAATTCCTACGGTATCTGAATTTAATAGGTGCCGGTCGGTGGTACTATAGTTTAAATTGTATAAATTTATGGTCTTATAGTTCATTCTGCTTTCCTGCATTTGAGATCACTTTCTTGGTATTTTCTGCGTAGCACCGCCTCTATTTTATTAAACGAAACCCAAAGAAGAAAGCATAAAAGTTGTACCACTGCAGTTCTAAATGTGGTTAAAAATATTCCCAGTCAAATGGATTTTGGTTGGGGTTCATTTTTCATCTTACTCGATTTCATCAAGGCATTTAATTGATCAAAACAAGTAAAAAAGCTAAAGTCGGGTGTCCCGACTTTGAAATACTCTGTACATATGTTTAAAATAAGCAAAGAAATTTAAAAAATTATAAAAACCAAATTTTGATCGATTTTACCTCTCTCCGTATTCGAATTCACGTAAAGGGTGTATAATTGCACATATATATGTGCGCAATTGCGTCTATGTGAGTGTATGAATGTCTATACGCGTCTATTCGTGTCTGTGTGAGCATGTTTGCAGTCAACCAAAGCACGAGCATCAACAACAGATGCCGGCAGCGCTTGGGCAGCAAATATAACTATAACTTCTTGTTAAATCGGTCTATCATAGTGAAACTTGGCATTCGGACATACTCACTAGCTGGGGGTATTTGCAAAATTTGCGTTCGAAATTCCAAGAATTACGGAAGTTATGTGAGATCACTAATTGCGTGAGAGAGGGGGAGGGAGGGGATTTCCAAAAAAAACTTCACATAAGGGTACAAACATAGTGTGCGCTGAGCCGAAGCTGAAGCCGAATTGCTTGCGTTGCGAGCAAGCTGACAGGTGTTCATGGTGAAAGACGAATTCAATGGCTACATATTTTCGTTAGTCGACATTTTTTTAAACATCGATCTTTTATTCCCGATGTTCGATGTTTTTACTCCGCCACTGAATTTTTATTTTTGTATGTTATACTTTCTTTGGTATTCATAATGAAGGACTAATTCGATGCCTATTTATTTTCGATATTCGCAATGGATTCGTCATCAGATGATTAGCTTCTCCTAAAAGAAAATTTATTTTTAAAATTAAAATTCCTTAAATGAAGTGGAAACTGTATTCACCCAATTAATTTGTCACATTTTGCACATTTTCAACTTGATAGACGCGCCCCATTTTGTATTCATGATTATATACAGATTTTTGAATTTCCATTCTGCATAGAAGCTTTATCTCCGGATTCATTTTTTTTACGTGGGGTAATAAACTTACAAAAAAGGCCATCGTTTGTTTTGAAACCTTTTGTATTTAATAAAAACAATTAGCTTTATAAATAAGATAACAAATCAAAATGAAGTCCCCTTTGTAATAAAATCGTATTGAAAATTCGTTAGTAGAAGTTTAAATCGATGTTCTTCCCCCGGCAGCATCGAAACATCGATATTTTTCCAGTTCTATTAGGAAAATGACAAAACATAAACAGCAAGCGATTCGGCTTCAAAATCAGTACCGGACGATTTGAAGCTGACAGCGTCAGCTTCGTCTTCATCTCCGTCTTCGTCTTCGCAAGCACTATGAACACTTTCGAGCGAATTCATATGTTTGCTTGTGCACAGTTTTTCGGCTTCAGCTTCGTCTCAGCGCTTACTATGTTTGTACCCTAGGCATCTGGGACTAAAATTTGGTGTTCCTCCGAGATATAGGGAAAACCCCCATAGGGCGGAATTGGGGGGAAAATCAAAAAAATAAAACAAACTTGTCTCTTATAGTCTCTAAGATCCAGGTGTTCATACGAACAGACAGACAGAGAGACGGACAGACAGGGTTAGATCAACTCGTCTTGTCATGCTGATCAAGAATATATACACTTTGTGGGGTTTGCCACGCCTTCTTCTGCCTGTTACATTTTTCATCTCCCGCAAACCTAATATTCTCTTGTACATTTCATCTACAGAGTATAAAAATGTATAGTGGCTAGGTTAGGTTTAAATGGTTGGGGTGTTGGTGCCTACTTAGGCCTTGAAGGCCCGTTCTGATACCATGTAATTCCAAATTGTGCTGGTCAGCCTTCAGCCACCCGGTTGTATTTAAAATTTTTACTAGGTTCTCGAGCTTTATGTTTGTTACATCCGTGAGGTCGTTTAAGAACGGTTTCTCTAGGATGTGTTGTGTGCGCCCTCTCGGTGCCGGTCAGTGACAGAGGAGGTGCTCTACAATTTCCTGTTCCTCCTCGCCCTGAAGCTTCTGCAGAAGTCGTATTTGCGTACGTATTTTTACTTGTTTTTTTTTTTAATTTCTTAATTTTTTTTATTTTCGATAATTATTGTAAGCATATGTACAGAGTATTTCAAAGTCGGGACACCCGACTTTAGCTTTTTTTCGTCATGCTGATCAATAATATATATACTTTGTGGGGTCTGCCACGCCTCCTTCTGCCTGTTACATTTTTCAGCTCCCGCAAACCTAATATACTTCTGTACATTTCATGTACAGACCATAATACTATATATGTAAATCACATTTCGGGACAGTCGCTTTGCGCACCTACGCCTTTGTATTAGTTGCTGCATGGAAAAGCTATAACGTTGATATGAAGAACCAGAGCTCCTCAGTGCATTCCTATGCTTTAAAAAAAAATTAGGCAAAGAAACACAATACAAATTGTGAAGAATGAGCAAGGAACTACATATTTTTAAATTACTTCATAATCAACTTCGAAAGTACGAATATGACTTGGTCAACCCCGGAGGGGCAGCTTATAGACATTTCACATGAACAAATGTGGAAAAACTAAAATCTACAAAACACAAATGTTTTTATCTTTAAGTTTCATCATGATTGGCAAAATTTAAAAGAAGTTATAACCATTAGCGTTTTCTCTGCACAAGCTCTGCCAGCAACTGTTGTTGATGCTGCTGCTTTGGCTCAACTCTTTACTCCACACATGATCACACAAAGTCGGTGGTTTTTTTACAGGGTACGTAAGAGTTGTGCCTGCTAAATTCTAGCTGTACATTCTTGTGTTTTATACACATCTACAAGCACCACTACAGTGATTTACAGGGTGCAAGAATTCTAAACAGATGTCTACTTGTAGTTTTGACCCAAACTACTTTTGATTTATTTATTGGTCATCCGTAGATGGCCAAATATGACGAGCCACGACTGATTAGCATTAACAGTTTTATGTGTCCTGAGTTACTTAAAATATAAATAACATTTACAATTAATTTAAAAACAATTAATTTTCCTAATGAAGATTTATTTTGGTTTTTTAGCGAAGCTACTTACAGCCCTTGTCACACCAGCAGTTCGACGACGAGCACTCGACAAACCACCGTCCATGTCACGCCTCATCGTCACAATTCCAGTAACAACATGCGCCACTCCACTGAACCAATAACTGCAGTGCCGCCACAAAACACAGCAGTTTCAGGCAACAATAATATCTTGCAGCAGCCCCGCCATGCAGTGCTACAACACACCGACTCCCAGCTGTTGCCTAGTCACCTGAAGTGTGGCATGTGCGCATCTCTAGCGCTAGCTTCACTGTTTGTGGGCGGTGCCAAATTTTACATTGATCACCAGGGAACAGGCCTGGAGGTGCTTATTTTCTGCATCTTCTCAGCCACCTTTTTTTTGGCCGCGTGCACGATTTCACTTTGTCGCATACCCAAAAGCTTGATTACGAGCCACACCGACTTGCATGCTGTATGTCGCAACGGCGTTGCCGCATCCACTTCGGGTAGCTATGTGAGGGGACAAGAGAATAACGATATGCAGTACCAGGACGATCGACCAACTGCCACCATTGCGACCACGGCAACAGCTGCTACAGTCGGGCCTCCACCTTATCATATAGCAATTTTATTACCGGAGCAAACGCAGGCGGGACTGGAAATATCGTTGGATGAGTCACCACCTCCGTCCTATGATAAAATATTGATTTAACATGTCGAAGTATATGAGTTCATATAGAACGTCAATTTTATATTCAAGCTAGAGATTTGTAATGTGATTTCATTTTAAATGTACACCATTTTTTATTTTTCTAAGGAAATTTAATTTGACATACGTACAGGATGCGCCATCTTTTATGTCGGTATGCAAACATTGAATATCCTTGAAAATAAACAACCGATTTTCAAGTATGAGATATTTTTATTTAATTTGGTTCTGTACAATTTCTTGAACTGAGGTTTTCAACCCTGTTCTACTCAAGTCAATCGGTTCACTAATGACAAAGTTATTCAATATCTACATATACATATGTATACATATATGGTTTTATATTGAAACACAAACATAAATATAAATAATTTTAAGCTTCAAATTGTATTTTTACGTACATATGTACATATGTATTTCACATTAAAGACATTCTCTCAATTTCTGCTATCAATTTTGTTCTGTAATTTGTCTAAAAAATATTCTCACTCCGTGATTTGGCATTGGCACTAACCAAAAATATAGATGGTTCATTTCATACAACGAAAACGTCCCATCAAAATTGTGAGCGACAGCTCCCATAGCTGTTCGGATATTTGCCGAATGGGAGCTGTCGCACTTCGGCTAACCCGACTGGGAGCTGTCGCATTCGTGCTCTCTCATTTGCAGAGAGGCAGTCAACAGAGACGGTCGATCTGTGCCGCTTATGCTCTTTGAATGTGTGCGTGCACATATATACATGTATACGTTTATATGCATTTGTTCTTTTGCTGTTTTGCGAGCAGTAGCTTCGCGTCTTGTTTTCAGATTTTACCTGCTACATGGGCATGAGAATTTCATACACTGTTGCCACCTTCTGCCGCATTGTATGCAAGTGAACTTTGTCAACAGGGTATGGGTTTCTAATAATGCCTATAAAAGCATATATACATACATATGTATGTATGTGTGCAAATGTAGTGTTCATATGCAGACAGTAGCCTTGACATTGTCTTGACCTACCTCAACTTGTATTTATGCACAAGCAATTTTGTGAACGACTATTTCCTATTTTTATACTCTGTACATGAAATGTACAGAAGTATATTAGGTTTGCGGGAGCTGAAAAATATAACAGGCAGAAGGAGGCGTGGCAGACCCCACAAAGTATATATATTCTTGATCAGCATGACGAGACGAGTCGATCTAGCCCTGTCTGTCCGTCTGTCCGTCTGTCCGTCCGTATGAACACCTGGATCTCAGAGACTATAAGAGATAGAGACACCAAATTTTCCACAAAGATGCCTTATGTGTGTATTCTATACGAGTTTGTTCTATTTTTTTGATTCCCCCCCCCCCCCCCCCCCACTACCCCCCTATGGAGGTTTTCCCGATTTTCCATTCGTATAATCGCCTATATCTCGGAGACTATAAGACCTAGGAACACCAAATTTCCCAGATGCCTTATGTGAATACGCAGAAAATGTATATTTTGGAATTTCCCTCCCTCCCCCCTCTCCCATGCAAATTGCGATTTATTCTAACTCCCGTAAATCTTGGAATTTCGAACTAAAATTTTACCCCCAATTAGTTATTATGTGTCCGTATGCCAAGTATATATAATAGACAACAGAGAGAACGCTACAGTCGAGCAAGCCCGACAGTAAAATACCCTGTACTCTCCACAAAAAAGGAAAATTAAAAAAAAAATTAATTTAAAAAATTTAATAATTTTAATTAATTAATTAATTTAAATATAAAATATTCAACACATGCATACATACGTGTTTACGTACAATTTCAACAGAATAAATTTACATCAAAATCGTGTCTGCGTATTTATATGTAAGTTTGCAACACAAAGTTGAACCAAAGCAGCAAAAACAAAAACAGCTGCGAGCAGAGCCGCTGGCAGCGCTGCAGGCAGAGCATGGGCTTTTATTTTATTTTATTTATTTTATTTTTTTTTCGTCTTCTCATCCTGATCAAGAATATATATACTTTGTTGGCTCTGCCACGCCTCCTTCTGCCTGTTACGTACATTCGCACAAAACTAGTGTACCCTTTCACCCTTTGGGTACAGGGTATAAAAATCGAATATATACCTACATGGTTTTTATATCCAAAGTATATGGTTGTAATTACAAGAGGGAACAATAGCAAATGTTGCGTCCATTAGATAGTGACGTTGTGATGTTGGAACGTTGGTTGAAATAAGTTGGGTTATTGATAAGGAAAGAAATATTGTACATCAATATTTAGCCTCGATCCCTGTGGTTTGATAAAATGCTAGGTCCTTGTTGCTTTCGCACATACCAATCTCAGTCATATGTACTGTATTTTGAAAAATATCAATAAAGTCCAAAGCGGTTTTGGGCATTTTTGGCATTGCCTCGGACTTAATCCTACGTAGATGGCGTTCTATTTTTTATACCCTGTACCCAAAGGGTACAAGGGTATATTAGTTTTGTGCGAGTGCACATGGAACACACAGAAGGAGGCTTGGTAGACCCCACAAAGTATATATATTCTTGATCAGCATGACAAGCCGAGTCGATATAGCCATATTCGTCTGTCTGTCTGTATGAACGCAAGGATCTCCGAAAGTATAAGAGCTAGAATAACCAAACTTGGTATACAGATTCTCCTGAGGCCGAGAAAGGACGAGTTTGTTCATTTTTTCTGATTCACCCCCCCACTCCCCCCCCCACCTATTGACGATTTTCTATAACGCCCGTAATTCTTGGAATTTTGGTAGTCACATTAGGTTAGTGATTATATAACCGTATACCAAGTTTTATTATGATAGAATGATCGGAAAGAAAGTTATAGCCATATAACCAGACCCAATGCACACATACATACATATGTACAAGTACACAAACACGCATAAGGTACGATTCTGATGTAAATGTATGTATGCATGCATGGAATATTTTATATTTAATTTAGTTAATTAATTAAATTAAATTAATTAATTAATTTAATGACTTTTTTATGGGGTGGTACAGGGTATTTAAGAGTTGAGCCTGCTCGACTTTAGCATTCCTTTCTTGTTTAAAATTAAGAAGTTCTGCATCATCCTTGCTTTTTAGGCATTCTTCATTAAATGCCAAGCGAACTCTATTGCATTGCAAAGTTGGCATGGCGACAGAGCTTTTTATGTTATTTTTAAGTTTAAGTTCTGCAATGCGCACCTCTTGATTGAGATGGTTATGCTCGCCTGATCTTGGATTTGCTGTGCAAACATGATTGGTTTCATTATAAAAAATTGAAACATTGCACCCGTTCTCATAGCAAACGTATGTTTTGATTTTATCCGAGTTTTTCTTTGTATATAAGCTTTTATATTTATATAGATGGTTTTCTGTGCAAATAAGTGCACTTCCTCTTCGAGCTCCTTCCAAAAACTCAAATTCCATTGTTCGTAAATCTGAGAAACAATTATTCCTTTATGTGTAAATAAAATACAATTTTATGCCTGTTTACCTGTTGACTTCCTTTGTTCTATTTTTTTGTCGCTAAATAGTCATTTACTTCACATTTACTACAAATACATACATATGTTCGATGTTACACGGATAAATGCACAACTTAAGAAACACGCGACGTAGTTGTACTATTTGGGTAATCCCCAAATTTAATTTAGAGGAATTAGACTTGTGCTTTTTCTTTGCATTATAACGTTGCCACCTTGGTAATACCGGTGATACCGGCATTGTTTACTTTATCAGGCTCTAAGTATTTTTCAAATCAAAAATGATCAATTTAGAATGGAAACAATATTGCGCTAATAGAGCGTATTGTATTTGAAAATGTGTAATATATCATACAATATTATACACAAAAAATGTTTTGAATTTATTCTGTTGCAGCTACAAATATGATTTCAACACTCAACTAAAAGGAAAATAAGTAGGAGTAACCAATACTATGTTATGTTAATTTATATATTTTAAACTGAGTAGTTAAAGTATTGCCCCATATTGCTTGGCTAGGGCTTCCTGAGATGCAAGTTTCGAAGCTAAAAAGTACGGTTTTGCCATAGTTTTACCGCTGGTCACTTTCAATGATAGTCGAGTTCTAGCCCTTTTTTTCCGTACAATGTTTTTTTTATCGTTTAAGTATTAATCTTCACCACTGAAATTTTTCTTAGCGGGTGACCGTTTTAAATGTAGTTTATTAACAAATTCTCCTGGCTTGATTGCTGCTCTGGTCCCATTTTACAAAAAAAATTAAAAATGGACCTTCAAAGTTACCAAATCAAAATGAAATGCTTGTAAACGCAGATCAAAGGCATCTATATACATAAAACAGTTTGTCCTGACTGACTGACTGATTGGTGATCAACGCACAGCCCAAACGGTAAAGGCTAGGAAGCTCAAATTTGGACTCAAGTATCCTTTTATAGTCTAGGTGCCCACTAAGAAGGGATTTTGGAAAACTCGAGCTCCAAAGGGGGGATAACAGGCTCCAACGTTTGTATGAAAAATCTACAGTTTTCATCTGATTAAGTTCTTAGTTTGTATACTCTCAGAACAATTCCAAGAAAAACTGTATACTTATTTTTTTGATATTTTTTTTGGGGCCTAAAAAATAGTTTTCCTGTAAAAAAATGTTGGGGCACAAAAGCAAACCGCGTCAACAGCCCACACGGTAAAAGCCAGGATGCTGAAATTTGGGCTCAAGTATCCTATCATGGTGTAGATGCGCACTAAGAAGGGATTTTTTAGCCGATCGACATAAAACTTGGTTTCTGAAATCAATAAAAGAATACAAAGAAAACTGCATACTCGGTTTTTAAAATTTTTTGTTGGAGCTTGAATTATTGGGGTTTTCTTGGGGCACAAAAGGAAACCGCGTCAACAGCCCAAACGGTAAGAGCTAGAAAGCTGAAATTTGGGCTCAAGTATCCTATCATAGTGTAAATGTGCATTAAGAAAATTCGAGCTCCAAAGGGGGGAAAAGTAGCTCCAAAGTTTGTTTGAAAAATCTGCATTTTTCAACCGATCGACTTAAAACTTAGTTTCTAAAATCAATTAAAGAATACAAACAAAACTGCATACTTAGATTTTCGTTAGGGTTTTCATTAATAACTTTAT